CAACGTAAGAACGAGCCGCCATTTTACATTTTACATACATACATACATACATACATACATACATACATACATACATACATACATACATACATACATACATACATACATACATACATACATACATACATACATACATTCATTAAACATCCAATTAAAATCCTTGAAAAAAACGAGATCGATTTTCTAGGCTCAATAATTTTTCCTGGTGAAAGCCAAAACATATCCATAGCTAAAAAATTTGAAAATTTTAAACTTATCACCCAAAGGCTAAATATCATCAATAAACATGATGCAATGGTCCTTCTATTACAAGCTGCTTTTTTGCCTCGTCTTGTTTATTTTTTGAGAACATCCCCTCTGTTGGATGTTTCGATCCTCGATAGTTTTGACGATCACCTCCGTGACGCATTCCAGTCCATCTTCAACATAAAACTCGATCAAAAAAATTGGTTGCAGGGGACGCTGCCTATATGTGTTGGTGGCCTGGGTTTGGGTTCCGCGGCTGAGCTGGCACCTTCTGCCTTTTTGGCTTCTGCTGCTGCCACGGTGGCCCTCCAGGATCTGATGTTGCCGAGGGATGGGATTTATGTCAATAACTTCAGAATGCAAGTATACGACATGTGGCGCGCCACCAACGGAGATGTGGTTGCGCTCGAAAACCCCTCGCAAAAACACTGGATCGCCCCCTGTCTTAATAGATCAGTTGATCGATGGCTGCAACTGAATGGCTCTACTTTTGACAAGGCTAGAATTATGGCTGTCAAAAGTGAGTTGGGCTCCGCCTGGTTAAGAGCGCTACCCAACACCTCCTGCGGCACTAGATTAGATGACTCCTGTGTTCGCGTGAGCCTTGGTTTGAGACTCGGAGCCCAGATCGTCACCGAATACGAATGCGCATGTGGGGCAAGGGTTGATGAACTTGGATACCATAGCCTTTCTTGTCGTCTGGGTCCTGGAAGACAAGCCAGACATACGGCTGTCAACGAATATCTGGTACGATGTTTTCAAAAGGCTGGTATCCCGGTTATAAAAGAACCCATGGGTTTGATAGAGGAAGGAGCCTTTAGGCCTGATGGTTACACTATCACCCCATGGGCTCAGAGACGGTCCCTGGCTTGGGACGTTACCTTACCCCACACTATGGCTGACCGATATATCGGCTACACTTCAGTTGAGGCGGGCACTGCTGCCCTTAAAGCGTCCGATTTCAAAAATGAAAAATACGTTTCATTAAACAATTTAAGCAAAATATTTCAACCCATTTGCATTGAAACGTTCGGACCAACAGATAAACACACATCATTATTTATTAACGAATTAACAAGAAAAATAGTTAATATAACGGGTGATCCTAACGAAGGCAATTATTTAAAACTCTTTCACTTTTATTACAAAAATTTAATTCCTTTTGCATTCTGGATGGAGCTGCTAGATACCTGACTGTGCGAGACCAGGGACATAGATAAAAGTTGAACTCGGAAACGATTGCATGCCTAACCATGGCTTGTTCATCAAAACGGGTTCATACATACATACATACATACATACATACATACATACATACATACATACATACATACATACATACATACATACATACATACATACATACATACATACATACATACATACATACATACATACATACATACATACATACATATATACCTTCAAACATACATACATACATTCTTAATCAAATAATTTTCATAGTTTTCCTACTTCATTAAACTTTATTGCCTACAAGGGCAATCTTTTTTCTCTTAAAAAGAGACAGCGGTACTTTTCACTCTAACAACATACCTTAATACCTTTTCGGTATTCACCGAACAAGACGAAACGAGACGAGACGAAACGAGACGAAATTTTATTTAGCAAGATTATTCTAAGAGAAATAGACTTACTGGAGTTGACTAATGAAAAATTAAAAAAATTTATCTTAATTCAAACATAAAAACGTACAGCCCGTGCGGACAAACCATGGATGAACGAACGAACGAACAAACGAACGAATGAATAAACTAATGAAATAACAAATGAATGAACAAACGAATGAACAAACTAATGAAAGAATGAATGAATAAAAAAAAAATCAACAGTAGATAAAAACAGGACACAAAAATAGCCATAGGTAAAATAGTTTGGTCGCGAACCATATTTTCAGCACATTTTGACATCGTCAACATCAGCATAAAGAATCTCAAATAATCAGCCGGACGTTGTGGCTCCACCTGAACATCATCATCATAACCACCACCATCATTATCATTATCATCATCACCACCACCATCATCATCATCACCACCATCGTCATCGTCGTCGTCATCATCATCATTACCATCGTCATCGTCGTCATCATCACTTAGGGAGGGAGAAAAAAATTTCATAATGAGGTTATAAATGTCAATGTCACATTAACCTGAATAAAAGATTGTGGTCATCATCATCGTTGTCATCTGGCGCCATTTGATTAAAGTTAATTCATGTTTTTAATGACATTAGTTCGTTCGTTCGTTCATTTGTTCGTTCGTTCGTTTGCACGTGTGTGCGTGTAAATGTGTGTGTGTGCGTGTGCGTGTGCGTGTGTGTGTGTGTGTGTGTGGGTAAGTGAGTATGAATAAATGTCACATTCATACAAATTAATTCGCACAGACGAGCTGCTAATAACAATTAGTCGATATTGCAATTGTAAAAAGATAAAAAAAAATATATATACAGACAAACAGACAAATAACAGACAATACAGAAAAACATACAAATAATATACAAAACAAATACCAAACAAACAAACATACATACAGATATACAAAAAAGCAACGAACAAATAATGCGACAAAAAACATACGAGCATGAGACTACAATTATTATATCAAACAAAAAAAAAACAACAAAACGTTGAACAAAATAAACAAAAAAATACAAAAAGCAAACATACAAACAAACAAATATAAAAATATAAAAATTAACATACATACAAACATACATATATATACACAAACAAACATACATACATTTTCTGACAATAAACATTTGCAAACCAATTGAACCGTAAGGTATATAGAAAAAATTCTCTTACTTTGTAAACAAATTTATGCGGAGAAAATGTATCTTTCCAAATAACAGTACAACCAAAAACAGCAACAACAAGCAACAAAAACACACAAATAAACAAACATACATACAAACAAACAAACAAATAAAGACATTTCTTAGATGGTTGTACGTCAGCCAGCATCATATCAGAGACCCAATAAAAAACCACAACAACATCTGTGGCTCTACTACTACATCTGCAACAGCAAACACAACAACTGCAACAACAACAGCTGCAGCAACAATAACAACGACAACATGGTCATTAACAGCAACAACTGCAACAGAAAATACAACAACAATAGCAACTGCAACAACAACGACAACTGCAACAACAACAACAACAATATTATCATCAACCACAAAAACAGCAGCAACAACAACAACATCATCAACCACAACAACAACTTGAATTCATAAAAACAACCAGCAAAAATTTTTTGCCTCATCTTTCCGAACTCAGTTTTAATTTTGAAAATGTTCCATCCTTCGGAGATAGTGTGACGTATTAACAATAATAAATATAATCATAATAATAATATTTATAATAATAATAATTATTATTATTATTGTAAAAAAAACTTCTGTAAAAAATAGAAGAAAGAATGAATTTTCGAATAGTCAAAGAGACTGAATATCATTAATCACGGGTTACATACATTCATACATACATTCGTACATACATACATACATACATACATACATACATACATACATACATACATACATACATACATACATACATACATACATACATACATACATACATACATACATACATACATACATACATACATACATACATACATACATACATACATACATACATACATACATACATACATACATACATACATACATACATACATACATACATACATACATACATACATACATACATACATGGCCTAACACCTCTGTGGGCACCAGGCTTGACGACGAGTCTGTAAGATTTGCCATTGGCTTCCGACTTGGCCTGGTCATTCAGAATAAATACACGTGCCGATGTGGCGCTGAGGCGGACGAGTTTGGGCACCACGGTTTGGTTTGTCGCCTGGGTGGGGGCCGTCAACTACGTCACTCAGCGCTAAACGATTACATTTGTCGGCTCTTCTCCAAGGCTTCAATCCCGGTTCTCAAGGAACCATCCGGCATTTCTGCGCATGATGGTAGGCGACCGGACGGATGCACGCTAATACCTTGGAGAGCCGGCAGATGTTTGGCGTGAGATGTTACGGTCCCTGGCACCCTCGCCGAACGATACGTAAACCTGACAAGTAAAGAATGCGGTTTGGCCGCGGCCAGGGCAGCGGACGAGAAAATGAAAAAATATGGGAATGCCCTCCCCTCGATGGAATTCTTGCCAATATGCATCGAGGTTCTCGGCCCGATGGACCCCAACACCCTTAAATTTCTTAAGGAAATAGGCAAAATGATCAGTGTCAGATCAGGTGACAGCAGGGAACTGTTTTTTGCAACCAACCACATTTCGTGCTTGTTGCAGCGGTTCCTGCGTGTCTGTGTGCTTGAAAATATCCAACTGAATGCCGATGTACGTACGTACATAAATTCATAGATTCATTCTTCTGAAAAATTTAAGTTTGGCAGGTGAAAGACGACATGCATGCATGTGTATGAGCGTAGATATGCATTGTCAAGGCATCTCAAATAATAATTAAATTTTAAATATGGGAATTTTTTTCTATGACAAAAGGATGTTATTGACTTCAAATTTAATTAACACCCACACACGGGCACACACCACACACAAACACGCTCACAACTACAACAAAATATAAAAACACACACACACAAAATCCGCTTGTTAGTTTGGTTATTGGTACACCCTTCCTACACTCCCTTACACTCCCTCACACTCCCATGAACACTCTCAGAATCAAACAAACCTGTGACACCCCATAGCCATTTTTGCCAGAAGCAGGACAATGATGTCATCGGGAAACCCGCCACGGATGAAAAAATTAGGTCACAGACAGCCAAGTTGATGACCAGAACGTTGGCCGGCGTGCGTAGACTGGCAGTGCTGTCATGATGATGATAATGATGATGATGATGATGATGATGACGATGATGACGATGATGACGATAATGATGATGACGACGACGACGATGATGATGATGATGATGACGACGATGATGATGATGACGACGACGATGATGATGATGATAATGATGATGATAATGATGATGATGATGATGACGATGATGATGATGATGGTGATGATGTTGGTGGTGATTGTACTGACGACGACGACGATGATGATGGTGATGATGATGCAGATGATGATGATGGTGATTATTATTATAACGATGATGATGATGATGAGAAAGATGAGGAAGATGAGTGTATGATGATGACATCAAGATAATGACAAGGCTCCTCTCTTGGAAATGAAAATAATTTTTTAATTAATGAAAAGGTTTGAGACCTCCGAAAAACTAAAACCTTCCTAACTAGGTGCCGAAAAAAATGGAAAAAAAAAATACAAGCCTACGTCTGCGCGCTCGTGTGTGTACGTAGATCACGTGACGATTAAATGGCGCCAACTTGTCCAAAAGACGTTAAATAATTTTTTCCATCAACGACCTAACGATGCAACTGTTTGTATGTACGTGTGTGTGTGTGTGTGTTTGTGTGTGTTTGTGTGTGTACGTGTAGGTGTGTGTATGTGTAGGTGTATGTATGTGTGCGTGTGTCTGTGTGTATGTGTTCGTGTGTTGTCATATAATGAACAGACTGACTAGCATATCAAATGTTTTTTTTCAAAATAATAAAAAAATTAATTTAAGTTAATTAATTAACAATTATTTCAAAATCAAACTTAAATAAAACTTGTACAGTTTTATAATTAAGTTGCTGAACTATTTGAACAACGCATATACAATCTCCATTCGTCTATTGTATGATACAAATCTATACCGCCATTCAGAAAAATTACTTCAAAAATTTGAGGAAAAAAGTTATATAAAAAAAAACTGTTGTTGTTAAAGGGATCTTGCACGATTTGAAATAAACAAAGAGCCATTCAAATTGATGATGGCCACCCAAACTTATGGTCTCTAGAAACAACAAGAGGGCCGATGACTTTAGAAATGAACCCCGGCAAGCTTTAGCCCCTAGGTAACAGAATGATCGCATTTTTAGTTACTCTCTTGAAAAATACATAACAAAACATTAATTTTTTAATTAATAAAGTCTTATTTCTAATTAAAAAAACGTCTTAATTTAATCTAATTTTAATAGACAAACGAACAATTACATGCAAACATGTATACAAATACAAAAAGTCTTACCCACACGTACATACACACATGTATGCCAACTTACTTATATGCAAACACATACATACAAAAACGTACAAAAATACAAACAAACACGAAAATACACACAAAACATACAGACAAACATTCATGCGACAGAATACAGTTAACAAGAAACCCTATGTATACACGAATTTAGACAGTAATTCTTCTGAGAAATATTATTCACTACTTTAAGCGCTTTAAAAATCAGCACTACATGCTAAAAATTGTTAACAATACTACTACTACCACCACCACTACTACTACTACTACAATTACTACTACTACTACTACTACTACTATTATTATTACTACTACTACCACTACTACTACTACTACTAACACTACTACTAACACTACTACTACTACTACTATTACTACAGCTGCTATTACTACTACATACAAAAATACAAACATACACACATACACACATACAAACATACGAACATGCAGATATACATACAAACGCTTTGAGGTTTCACATCCTAACGCACGAGGGAATACTTTAAATTAAACTCCATTGAATTGATTAGGCAAATTTAATTCCATTAAATAGCTATAGTTCAAATTTTATCTAAGTATGTATGTGCACATGTATGTGTGTATGTGCATATGTGTGTGTGCGCTTGGATGTATGTTTCTGTGTGAATGAACGTGTGCATGAGTGTGTATGTAGAAAAAGTACAACCCTTAACTCATAATTAAATTAAATTAGTTTTACAGTTGTTAGGGTTATAATAATTGAAATAATAATAATAATAATAATAATAACAAAAATAATAATTCACACCCCCAGAATTTTTTCCCTATCGCATTTAGATTGAAATGCTATGAATGAATGGAAGTTTAATTACATTGCTTTTTTGCTTGGATGAATTAAATTAAATGGTTAAAAAAAGATAATAACGAAGACGATGATGAAGATGATGATGACAATGAAAAAGAAGAAGGTAAAGCAGAAGATGATGACGATGATGAAGATGAAGAAGATGATGAGGATGATGAAGATGAAGAAGATGATGAGGATGATGAAGATGAAGAAGATGATGAGGATGATGAAGATGAAGAAGATGATGAGGATGATGAAGATGAAGAAGATGATGAGGATGATGAAGATGAAGAAGATGATGAGGATGATGAAGATGAAGAAGATGATGAGGATGATGAAGATGAAGAAGATGATGAGGAGGATGAAGATGAAGAAGATGATGAGGATGATGAAGATGAAGAAGATGATGAGGAGGATGAAGATGAAGAAGATGATGAGGATGATGAAGATGAAGAAGATGATGAGGATGATGAAAAAGATGATGACGATGTTGATATTGATATGGTGTAGGTAGATGACGATAATGATTATTATAATACTGATGATAGTGATAATAATAGTAATAATAATAATATCACGAAATGATAAGCAAAAAAACTGAACGATAAAAACATTCCCGGCAAAACTTACTGCTAACATAAATAAGCGAAAAAAAGAACAAAAAAATAAATTGCCAAAAAGTAAAACTGAAAATAAATCATAAAAATAAAACGCGCCCACCTGCAAAAGACATAAACATCTTAAAAAAGATCATAAATATACGCCAAAGATCATGTACATATACCAAAGAAATGAATCTAAAAATAAATAAACAGACTTGAAAACTAGCTAAATTACTAAAAGCTAAAAATAATTAGAATGACGTCGACAAAATTGTTTACACAGAACTCAAAAATAGAAAAAGGCGGGAAATTTGTTAAAAAAACATATGGTTACATTTTAAAAATGCTCGCCAAATCATTAAAAGCTTTAAATATTACCAAAAAAACAAATAAACGCGCATTTTTGTATCTATGCATCTAAAAATAGAATTTAAAAAATTACGGCCCAGAAAAAAAATCATGAATAAATAAAAATTTGTACAAAAAAAGATAGCAAATAACTTAAAAAATATAAAAACGCGCCTAAAATAAATTTAAAAATAATAAGCTCTAGCCAACAAAACTTTTGCCAAAAATTTTTAGGAATGAATGAATGAATGAGGAATGAATGAACGAATGAAGGAATAGATGGAGAATAGATCGCATGGATAGATCGATGTTCGGACAAATAGATGAAGGAATAAATAAATAAAAGAACAAACAAACAAATGAACGAATAGACAAACGAGTGAATCTAAAAATTGAAACTGAAAAAATGAAACTGAAAACAGAAGCGCGCCAACCTGCAAAAGATATAAATAACCGTGGAATTCCCTACTATACCCAAAAACCCAACGACGGTAATGTAGATGCCTAAGAATAGAAAAAATATCTCGGAAGTAGTTTCTATTTCCGCTTTGTATCTCCACCAATGGGGATGGAAGATGGAATACCAAGTTTCGTTTTCGATTTTAATAATTGTGTTGTTGGCGAAGGTATTGTTGTTGCTTACGTTGATGTAGTAGTTGTAGTAGTAGTAGTAGTTATTATTATTATTATTGTTGTTACTGTTGTTGTAGTTGTTGTTGATGTTGTTGTTGTAAGACTCGATAATATATTTAACATGGCTACTGCGGATTTCATTTATATCTGTGTTGTTCTCGTTGTTGAAGCCGTTGTAGTTATTGTAGTAGTAGTAGTTGTAGTGGTTGGTGGCGGTGCTTGTGGTAAGCATTTGAGCGACGGAGATGATGATGATTAATTAGATAACGATGATGATGATGATGATGATAATGATGAATATAAATGGCAATCGTTATGATGATGATGATGATGAAGACAACAAAGATGCCGACGACGATGACGATGATGGTGATGGTGATTGAGTTTCAAATTTAGTTACATTTTTTAGCCAAGTAAGTTACCCATTCACAATTAGTTAAAATATCTATGGAAAATAATAATTAAAAAAATATCAATAAGTATATTTTATCTGGGCGCATACACACACGCGCACACACACACACATACAAATACAAACACACACACACAAATACAAACTTTATCTCTACAATGTATCTTATTGATTCAATACCATGGCTTGAAGCAAAAAATTATTATTATGATTATTGTTGTTACAATTAATTATTATTTTTATTATTAATAATAAATATATATATATATTTGTTTGTATATTTATTTATTCAATCAAACAACACGATAGAAACTTTTACTTCTTCTTATCTGGTCAAAACGATGCTAGAATGGGCTTTTATAACATTGATCAGTGCGTCTGTACAAACATGCATACATACATACATAGCCACACACACATACATACATACACACACACACACATACATACATACACACATACATACATACATGAATACGCACATGCATACATTATTATTATTATTATTAAAAATTAAAAAATCGTCTATGGCATATCCGTGTTATTGATAAATTGTCGGGATATATTTGTTCTTAGCTTACGCTCTCCCAATGGCTTATGCAAATATGCATGTATGTTGGTATGTTTTTTGTATGTATGTTTGTATGTATGTATATTTGTATGTTTTTAGTGTGTATGTATGTATGTTTGTATTTGTATGTATAGGCGTGTGTTTATGTTTGTATGTCCGTATGTTTTTGTGTGCATTTTAAAGCCTTATTACATTTTCTTTAAGATCAAAAAAAGCTACAATACACATACGTCGCATGCTAACTCTGGCATCTTTATATCGTATTCGAAACTGGTAACTGCGTAACAGGACCAGGCGACCTTAACCACTAGACCATCACGGCGCCCTCCGAAACATTACAATCTTCTACCAGCCCCTCAATGATCTATGACATCTTTAAAATAAAAATTAGACATTTGACAAGAAAATTGACTTACACAAGCTGATAACTAAGTGAACCCTATCAGCTATTTATTCATATATTCGTTCACTTTTTGACCTTATATCAATATTTATACCCTTATTATTATTATTTCTATTATTAATATTATTATTATTATTATTTCTATTATTATTATTATTATTTCTATTATTATTATTATTATTATTACTGATTTTTAAAAAAAAACGCCTTTGCTAATGAGCATGTACGTTAACATTGTACTTGTTACGTGTGTAAGTTGGCAGTGATAAAATTGTCTAGGTTCCGAGGCTTGCCATATAATTTAGAGTTATTTTTATTCAAAAATATCGCTAAAAAGTTACATCCCGACTTTAATAAGTCGCTACAACTACTACTACTACTACTGCTACAACTACTACTACTGCTATTACTGCTACTACTATTACTACTACTACTACTGCTGCTACTACAACTACTACTGCTGCTACAACAACTACAACAACTACTACTGCTGCTATAACAACAACAACAACTACTACTACTACTACTACTACTGAAGCTACCACAACTACTGAAGCTACTACTATAACTACTACTACTACTACTGCTACAACAACGACGACTATTACTACTATTATTATTATTATTATTATTATTATTATTATTATTACTTTTAATAACTTTTACTATGCTAATACTGCTTTTAATGAACAAATACTACTAATGCTTTTTTAACTTTTTTCATCTTCATCAACCGCCACATTGGAACATAAATTAGCGGTAAAAAATCAAAAGCTATCGCCAGCAGATTCACCGAGTTCCTACCTTCTTTCATTCCATTCTTTCGTCTATCTATCTATTTATTCGTTCGTTCGTTCGTTCGTTCTTTCACTCATTCACTCGTTCAATCGTAATTTCGTTTATTTACTCCTTCATAAAATTTTCATAATCTTTCATTAATGTTTTATTGATTTTATTTTAATTGTATTCAATCTAATATAAGTTAATTATATAAGTTAATATAATTCAATTCAATAGAGTTTAAAATAAGTTAAATAGAAGTTATCATTTTTATTTGTTTGTCCATTAGTTTATCAACCCATTCATTCAATTATTCATTCATTCAATCATTCATTCACTCATCTGTTCCTCCATCCATCCATCCACCACATTTATCCATCACATCCATTTGTCGTTTGCCATAAGCAGTCAAATCCAAAGTATGAAGGGGAAAATGAAAGGTGTAAAAAAGTGAATTAAAGTTCTCTCACATACATACACATACACAAGCATACCCAAACCCACACCACAAACGCATACAATGTCATACTCAAACACACACACACACACACAAAAACAATCACACAAACACATACATTCAAACATACATCCACACGCATCAGGCGTGTGGGTGTATGTGTGAACGTTCACCAGAATACAAAAAACATACAAAGACGCACAAGTATACAAAGAAATATACAAACATACAAACAGACCAAAAAAAATATGTACCAACATTTCTGCACTTGCAACGGTTTATCAATCTTTTCTTTGTGACGTATGTATAACCACCCTATAATTTATATGCACTCGGTATAAAAATATAAATAAAATAATAATATTTATAATAATAATAATAATAATAAATAATAATAATAAAGTAATAATTAAAATAATAATTATGATGCCAGTCAACAACAGCAACAACAGATAAAGCTAGGAAAAATCGTTTACCTTTGTTTGCAAGAAATTTAAGTAAGAATTGTATGCCTATGTTTGTTTGTTTGTTTGCATGATTGTTTGTTTGTATGTATGTTTGTTTTTTTAATTGTTTGCATGTTTGTTTGTTTGTATGTTTGTTTGTTTGCTTGAATATTATAGCTAAGTACAATGGTATTTTTCCTATTCTTATGAATTCTATTTTTATTGTTAGGGAGATACGGAAATTGATGTATGTTTGTTTTGTATCCTATTGTTTGTTTGTTTGTCATTTTGTTTGTTTGCTTGTATGTATGCATTATGTATGTATGTATTGTATGTGTTATATGTATGAATTTTATGTATTGTATGTATGT